CCGGATACATAAGTGAATGGCACTCACTGGTTCTTCACTTAATTAAAACTAGCACTTTATCTAGTATGACGTGTATAGGCTAAAAGATATTCTAAACGTAAACTATCGCATGAAGAATGTAAACTCATCTAGAAAACCACAATCGTAAATGAATACCATATTAGTTTCATACATACACGAATAAGACAAACACCAGTCAACTATGGCGTCAAAGTCAATAAAAATGAAATATGACCCTCCGATACAATATCAAAAATATCTACTGACTAGTGAGTAAAAAAAACAACAAGAACTCATGTACATTCAACCTGTCAGAAAACAAATTGAAATACTGGGAAAAACACTAATCAATTTTGCAAAAATCAATTATTCAAAAACCCATATTAAACCCATGCACAAATCACATCCATTTTTGTCGAGATTTTTCTCATTTAAAAATCTTATACCTAAAAAATTTCAACCTAATATTGTTGGTACAATAAATTATTCTAATCAAAGAACTTCATACATAACTAAAAACGTATGACACGGGCTCAGAACATATGTATGAACATCATGCCAATCTGCCAAAAAAACCATCTACATTTCTACAACCGCCAATGTCAACATTAAATCTAGTCATTTTAGATAGATCAAATATAAATAGAGGAAACAGAAGTACACTATTTTAAAAAAACTAGCAGCAATTGAGTCTGCAAAAAAAAAATAAATAAATAAGTCGAACTTGTTTTCAAAAACAATAAAAACTTAGCACTAATCATCAAATCACCAAAATCGATTGTAAACTCATCGCGAAAGATACCAGACAATATCCATGATTAGTAAGAAAGTCCTTCATCGTTCATGATAATCAATCTATACTAGATAGGATTGCTTTCTCACTACGACTCATGCTAAATTCGGAAAAAAAAACAAAATTTAAGATAAAACAGTGATTGATGCCTTATCATAGAGTTAAAGTGTCAATATCATGAGCATGCAATGGTAAATTCCGCTTTCCAGGAAATTCAAATAAAGTGACTATAGGAGAAATTTCATGAAAATTTAATTAAATGCTTTTTAAGGATAATCATAGAAAACTCGTCTAATTAGAAAAAGAATATAAAAATGAAGTTGAAGTCTAAGTTAGGATTGGCTTGGGTTGGGCTGGATCAAGGAAGAATATATATCTATATGTATATATAAAATATATGATTCAATTTCGGGTTGGGTTGGGTTGGGTCAGGTCATAAAATGAAACCATTATAGTATGAAATATGTATAGAAAAGTTTATGTACAGGTTTCATATCAAAACATCTTTTCACCCTCAAGACCTAACCCCACACCAAATCCAATCATATATTTTATATATATAGATATATATTCTTACTTGACTTGACCCAACCCAACTCAACCCAACCCGACCCAACCTCAACCGATCAAGCCCAACCCTAAATCAAACCATATATTATGTATATATAAAAATGCCTGTCATGATTCGATAAAAATATAAATAATAGATATCTGTTATATACACATTTTTTTATGAAAAATTATCAGAACAGTTATATATAATAATATTAAATGTGCGTCTATATATGAAAATTAGCTCTGAGCACTGCCACACTAATATGGCTAATTGCAATCTCCTGCACTTTAAGTGTAGCCAATTTTGAATTTCTTGGAAAGCGGAATTTACCATGTCCTTCTGAATAGACACCAATGGTCGATCAGTCTATAAACAATAGTTGATGAAGCATTTTAAAAAATCTTTCTGCACAATCACCAAATGTAATTAAAGATACGGTATGAGTGTAGATGTCGAAGTGGTCCTATTGTTCTATACCCACACTCATATGCAATTCTTTCACCCACTCAGATTTACATCTACTCTATAAAAACAAACCGTTTCCTAGAAAATTTAAACGGCTTCAGAAATCTTTTGAAGTTTGCGAGAAGGTTTCCGGCGACTTTCAGCATTTCTAACAATACCCTCTTGATTTCCGAAGGGTTAGAAAACCTAAGGTTACCTAAAATACTGATTTTAACATTCTGAAAGTATTGTGGAATACTCTTTATTATTTTTGAGTAACCTAACCGTATTTTCAGATACCGTTAGAGTATTATGAGAAACTAATATTGGTACAAAAACGGAGTTGGTATCCGAACAGGTATGTGAAAACACTTTTGTGGTTTCCGAAGTCTTTCATCAGAAATGGAAAGGTTTTTCGAACACCTTGAATCTCAAAAAGTTATTATAGCGAATCAAAGTCTTTTACCGAATTCTTGTTTGAGATTACAAATACTTTCCGAAGTGTTAACAATCTTTCAAATATTTCATAGAAAGATGGTGATTAGAACTCAAAGCTTGTCACAGCTATCTATGTGCTCGAAGTTTTGTTTCTGATCTTTTTTTCGCTTAATGTTAGAAACTTTTAGTTAACTGAACACTTTCCACGTATGCAATATAACGTATATAATTATGGGTCATTCTATGTAAGCATCATTTTTTCTCGAAATTTCAAATTATTTCATTTTCCTGGAGTAACCCTATCTCATCTTTCTATTTCTAAGTAAAATCATCTTTTAGTCTTATATTATTTTATTAAATGGCATGAAAGTAACGACTTATTATAGTTCTTGTAGTTTTAAAAGTTGTTGAGAATTACTGCATCAGAAGCTTCTGGTCTCAGATTATCATTATCACTCCTTTATTTGTAAAAAATCATACCGTTGTAAGTTCTCAAATCGAATGAAAAGTTCCAAGTTGAGCAAACATGTGCACAAATTACTCTTATTCACGTTGCATCTAAGCAATATGTGTGTATACCGTTCTGAAAAGACCGATTAATCATATTTCTAGAATTGTTGGATATTTAAAAACTAGTAGTATCTTTTTTTAACTTTAGACCATCAACAAATTCATCTAAAACGTAAGTCTCACTTCAATATATCAAAACTGATAGTAGGTTTTTCTTCGTTTTAGATCATAAACGAATTCATCCTAAACGTAAGTCTCATTTAAATATTTAAAATTCAATAGTTGCGTTTGTTTTATCTTAAGTTTGAATGCCCATCGTACAAGTCATAAAGTGTGTATGCGAATTAAAGAACTATTTATTGCCTCACGTTCGTTCTTGATTCAGAACTAGAGAATCGAAATCTCAGTAACCTTTATTCGATTCTCGACATCAGTACCCGAGGTTTTACTGTAGTTGATTTTTTGGATTTATCATGTACCGGAAATCCTCTATGGGCTTTTTGGGATATGGTTTTTTCAGAGAGCACGTCGACATCCATATTTTAATAGTTTCAATGAAGTTTTTGCGCATGAGATTAAACGAGATCGGCTTTACTTCTTACTCGACATTGACTGATCCTCCTTTTATCGAATTTTCAAAACCTCAGTTTTCAAAAGAATTTTTCTATTCTCCTTGTTTGTATTAGATGACTAATATATGTAGGATGTTTTAGAAATCTGAGAGGTCATTCATTTCGAAATGCTACTCGATAGTTATTTCACTGGAAAACTTCTCGAAAGGTACAAAAAGTTGCCGTACGTGTCCCAGCTTCTCGATGCTGTGAGCTTGTAGATATAGATAAGTTGACAACTAAGATAAAATAGGTCTACGACACGTATTTCATCTTTTTTATTATCGACATCTCGACTACTTTATATAGAGTTAGTAATTAGATGCTAAGGGACATTACCAAGGTAGATACATAAAGTACCCCGGTCAAACAAGCACAATCATCAACGACCCTATACGAAGAAATACGGTGATTTACGGAGAAAAACACGCTCGTCCACTGTCTTCGTATACGGAAGCCCTATACGATCTCCGTTTTGCGCTGTATTTCTTCGTATACGGTCACGGAGATATACGATCGTAATACGCCCTCATGTATTACGGAGAAATACGGTCGTACACGGTCGTCTCATGAACGTATACGGCCGTTTACGATCGTACATGGCCTCCGTATTCGTCGACCTGGGTATAAAGCACTGGCTAGGAGACGACAAATAGAAAAGGAAAATATCTGTATTTAGAACAATACATATGACCAGATGGTAGAAGGGAAATATACGAATGACAAGAGAACAGAAAGGAAAGATATATATGGTGATAGAATAGAGATGAGAAGAGAACAAAAATATAAGTGACAATAGATATGATGGACATATGATTCTAAAACTTTTTGACAATGCGTCTGAATTCTTCCCATTTTCCTGGACAATTCTATGTTAATGAACGACTTCTCCTTATTCTTGAAAAATTGTCTAAAATGATAAAATTCTTACACTATCAATTCTAAATGAATTTTTTTAAAATTATATGCATAAAATAGAACTTGTCAAGAAGGACATGATCGCCACCTTCATTTTTCTCTGTCATACAAAGTTTTACCCAAAAGTATTAAAGAAAAAAAAGATTTGAAAACTTATCCACGCTGATTTTATTCTAGGTTTTGGTACTTTAAACAATTTCTCCCGGTATCTTGTACCTTCGGATATTGCAATAAAACAGGCAATATTTGTAAAGATGAAAGAGCTGTCATAAATTTGTTATCAACGATAAAATCGTATGCGGCTTGCTGCTTCTTTTGTTGTATTGTGTTTTTTCCTTGAACGTTTTTCTTCTCCTTCTTGTTGATAACAACAGACGAAACACGAGTGAAGAGGGTTTTCAACCCTGTTAAAGTGATTCGATATCTTGCTGTTACACATAAAAACGTGTAGAGGAAGAGACATTATTTCATCATTTATCCTGGTACATCATCGTCAACTGGTATGTACGAGATTTTCGATGATATACTAGCCAGTATATGAGTTATATTTGTCCAAGCATTGCTGGCTCTGCTCACTTTACACATCAACAGGATATGAAGGGTCTCTCTTGGTACACTGGCGAGAAGCGCTATTTTTAGCAGGTGAGCAGAATATCTATGGTTTTGAGCACCACAACAAAAACAAAAAAAGGAAAAGAAAAGCCCACTTTATTTTTCTTATAGTGAAAAATTACAATTTCTTTTTTATATTTTCAATATTTTTTTTCGATTGTGCGATATGAGGATGATTTGGAGGGAGAGCTTTTCGATCGATTTCATGTGCTTTTTCGAGAAATGAAAGTGCTTTAGAGTACTCGCCGATGCTATAATATAGCACACCGATGTTGTTGTAAGATGTAGCGATGTCGGAATGATCAGGAACGAGAACTTTTTCCCGGGCTTTAAGTGCTTTTTCGTACCATGAAAGTGCTTTTGTGTGCTCGCCCATCTTATAATATACTGCACCGATGTTGTCGTAGGTAGCAGGCAAGTCGGAATGATCAGCAGGTAGAGCTACTTTCCTAATTTCAAGTGATTGTTCGAACCATGAAAGTGCTGTTGAGTAGTCGCCCATGTCTTCATACGTACTACCAATGTTGCTGTAAGACGTAGCCAAATCAGGATGATTCGCAGGGAGAGCTAATTTTCGGATTTCAATCGCTTGTTGGTACCATGAAAGTGCTTGTGAGTTGTCGCCCTTGTTTCTATACACGTTACCGATGCTGTTGTAGGAAGTAGCCAAGTCAGGATGATTCGGAGGAAGAGCTACTTTCCTGATTTCCAGTGATCGTTCGTACGATGACAGTGCTTTTGAATACTTGTTCATATTATAATACACCGAGCCAAGTTGATGATTGTAATTCGCTCGATCTTCATCGGAAGATGGAACTTCGAGGAGACTATTATAGAGTTGTTCTGCTTTCGAAGACTCACCTAGTGCCATAAGTATAGAAGCAATTCTCAACCATCCTGTTGCCCAATGAAACCCTTGGCGTATGTGTCCTGTAAGTGTATTCAAATCATGATCGTCGTTACCCGTTAGGGTGAGATCAACTTGCCATAGCCGATCAGTATCATCGTCGTCTATATGTTGAATTTGATCGATTCGAAAAACTGTATGCATTGTAAAAAGTATTTCTTCTTCGCAATCTTCAAAGAAGCCTTCGTTGGTCACGTCGGCAAATGAAGTTGATAATGTTGAACACAGTGATGGATCGATATTGATTACAAAGAGTATACCAACTAAATTGGGATTATGGATTGCTGATGATCGTGCAAAATTTTCAAATGACACTTGCGAATTACGACTTGCCGAAAGAAATGTATTGAACGACACGAAGCCACCCTTGGTTTGTTTCATTTTATCGAAATCTCCGACTGATAAAGCTTGACCACGGAATAATTGAAATGGAGCCATGATCTTATTGCTTGATTGTTGTTCGTGGTACAGTTTTTCAATACGTTGGTTCAAGTGTCGAATGAAGAATCTCATATTAATGATGACATCGACATCCATTAGACGAAGACCATAATTTAGCATAGAATTCATAAAGTAAGGCGCTGTATACCACCAAATCGGTGTATGACAGTGATATTCGCTCTCGGCTTTACTGATTTGGTCCTCAGCAATATCATCTTGAAGATGACAGTAATGAATAAATTGTTTAATTGACTTTTGATCGTCATCTTCGATTTCCAAAAGTGTCTCTTTCAATAATTGCGCATACTTAAATAACGTATCAATACCATTAAAGCTGATCGCGATCATAGCTCGAGCACAATTTTCATGATCAATTTGTAGTGCTTTAAGAATCGGATCGATTTGTGTATGTACTCCCCTTACCTTGGGTATTTGTCTGGCCCATTTTTCATGAATCGATTGATTGCCACAGAAAACATAGACAGATTCCAATTGTGGCCATTCTTGGATTTCTGGTATTATCTGTTGACCCAATGATCCAGATACAATCATGACTACTTTCTTGTTTTTGATTTTACTCAGGAAATCGAGGCATTCTCGAACATCTGTAAATGTTGCTACCGATGCTATAATACACCGTAGTTCATGTAATGCTGCTTTATAATCGTCTTCGGATTCGTTAATATTGGCATCAAGCCAAATCAAAAGAGAATGTTGCGACATTTGGCTACCACGTCGGGGAAGCACTGTAGTTCTGTCCGTTTTTTCTCCAATTGCTAGTGCTGTTCCATTAGTATTGGTATTAGCAGTTGCACCAACTAAGAGTGATTGTGGCGATGTTGAGTGCTTCGGTTTCCTTTTAGGGATTAGTGATGAGAAAAAAGAAGAGACGTGAGCAGTTGTTGTCGATTTTATTTTGTCCATGATTATGATGATATTTCTTGTCAACGATCGAAAATAAATGACTAAAAATGTAAAAACTTGTTGAAGATGATGAAACAAACACAAACACAATTCGCTGCTCTCTCTCAATATATATATATATATATATGTATTACTGTTTCTCAGTCAGACAAAACTCTTAAAAGGATCCGTTATCTTGACATGAATGGCTGCCCAAAGTTATGGAAGAATATATGATAAAAAGACACGACAAAGAATAAATCTAGAACGTTATACATTAGCGTTTAGTATTCTTGAAAGATATAACTAATTCAACAATGATACAATGAAAAAGGTACTACATATGAGGGACACATCGTAAGCAAAAACAAGTTTGTTTTGATTGACAAGAATAATTGAAGCGTAACTGCCTGTCTGCTTTCTTTTTTTTATCATATGTAGGGCTGAATCCCCATATTCATTACTCAATGATATCCTCTAACCAATCATACGCATAATAACATTTTTTTATCGCTGAAAGAAGACTTGTAGAATATATTCCCAATAAGATTTGTCACTTAGGTATATAGAGAAAAATATAAGTTCATTATGAAGATATTGAAAAAAAAATATTTTGATCAGTTTTATTTGCCTGACCTCTATTGATAGTGTGTTTTGAGTTTTTATTTGTCGTCATTTTCTTCAAATAATGTAATGCATAGAATATCGATCTTTGTTCTGACTAATTTTGGTTGTTATCTCGTCATCATTTTGAGAAAACATTTCAAGTCCGCAAATAATAGTTTATATGATTCAAACATTTAGGAACAGGTGGAAATAAAGTTTTCTTTTTTTTCTGAATTCTTATTAGTTTAATTTTTCATTCTTGGAACTATTTCCGTTGACTATCTCGTTCGTTTCTGTGATTCATTCATTCAGTTATATATTTGTTAAACGATCGTGTTATTTTTCTCTTTCTCTCATGCCACTCACTGATTCTTTTTTCATAGCTTTGCCATTTCTGCTATAGGGAGTTGTGCAGCTAGAGGTGTAAGCCGTGCGGCTGAGCCGCCGCAGCCGCCGATTAACGGGAAAAATTTTAAGCCGCCGCCGCCGTGACGGTCGAAATTTTAAAAATTTATAAGCCGCCGCCGCTGAGACACTTTAGTTCCAGCCGCCGCGCCGCCGAGGGCATTCAGAATTTTCAAATTTTTGAGCCGCCGCCGCCGACACCGTTCATAAACATCGACAACTTTTTAATCATTTTTTCCTTAATTTTGTATGGGTTAAAAGTTTCAAGTAATCATTTCACTTGTTAATGTCTATAACATTATGTATAAGTAAAGACCAGTATTATAAGTTTCGATTAATAAAAACAAAATCAAGCAACAGACTTGTGTGTGCTACGTCGTTCTACTTATTAAAAAACTCGGTGACGGTTTTTCATCTACTATGTATCCTGGTGGTTATATTTATTTTTCATTTATTTGTATTCTCAGTGGTTGTATTATTTTTTTCACTTATTAATAATCCTAGTGATTCCGTTTTATTCAGTAGCAATTCAAGTTATATTTCCTACTCAAAGTTTGATGGTTTTACTATGTATTGATGATTTTGGTAATTTTTATTTATCATTATTTTTGGTGTTGCTTTTTCAATTTTCAGAAATTTGTAGGTGCTGTTTATTGATAAATAAATAATTCTGTTTGTTTTGTTCACTTTTAGGTTCATCTTGCAGTTGAAATGACAAATATATATTGTGTAAACAAAAACTTTTTTATCGAGATGAACCTACCTAATCTACCAAAACCATCGTTCGTCTGGAATCATTTCGGTTATTTGTACAAAAAAACCGAATTAGTTAGCCGATAATTAACATGTTTATTGCAAAATTTGGTTTCACAAATTGAAAAACGATCAAGCTGATATTACTTTTTTCAATTAAAAATTTTATTGGTATTTATAGCAATATAAGTGGTACAGGAAATGTGAAAAATCATTTAACGGTCTACGAAAACGTTTTTGGACAAAGTATTTGTTCATTTTTTTCTCTTATAAAAGTATTCTAGTCGAGTGAAAAAAGAGTGATTATGACCAGAATGATGTGGTCTTTCCAGATATAGGCTCATAAATTGTGTACCTATTGTTGCTCCAGAATAAGTAAGGAGATCTCTGAAAGGTCTAAAAACACAGTTTGGACACATCAATTATTCAAAAGTTTCTCGACAATATTTTGTTCAGATTTTATTGGCTTAAGTGTTCTAGATGAATGAAAAACTTTAGATTAGGACTAGAATTCTGTGCTCTATCCGAATATAGTCTGAGGGATTGTGTATCTGTTCTTGTCATAGAGTAGTGAGGAGGTCTTTGAATGTTCTGAAAAAGTTATGTCAGTGGCAAATAAAAAAGTTTTTGTGATCTTCGTATGTTTCTTTAGAAAAGCGCTAAAAATGGTTCAACTTGCAAATGTTGTAGGACGAATAATTCTTTATAAAATGTTATGGCGAACTAAAATGTACCCTTTACGCATATAAAAATATGACTGTTTTTGCAAGAACTACATCTATCAGAATCGAATTCTGATGAAAAAATTGATTTTTCGACAATGCAACTGAACAACAATGTAAGTATTTTGTCAGAAAAAAATTAACTCAAATGTCATATTTTGTAGAACAAACTTTGTTCACGCTGACATGTGAACAAAAGATTCAGCATTTAGTTTTGAATATCAGTAGCAAGCATATGAAGATGTGCGAAGAAATTTTCCGTCCAAACTGTTTTTTTTTAGATCTTTGAAAGGTCTCCTCACTGCTCTCGAGCGAGAATAGGTACACCAATTCAGCCCATATTTGGAAAGAGCACAAAATTCTGGTCCTTAGCACTAGTTGTTCACTCGACTAAAATACTTTTAGAAGAGTCAAAAATGAGCAAATATGTTGCCCAAAAACTTTCCCATAGACTGCTATAGTACTTTTTCTAAACCTCCAGCCGCCGCCGCCGAACGACGAAGGACTTTAAGCCGCCGCCGCCGTCGGCGATAGGAAAAAAATGACTTTCGAGCCGCCGCCGCCGTGCAGCCCCAGTAATTCAAATCTGCGCCGCCGAGCTTTTGAAAAAAAATTTTTTTTAATGGCGCCGCCGCCGGTCAGCTCATCGGCTTACACCTCTATGTGCAGCGTACTTGAAGTAGAAAAGTACGCCAAAGTACAAAAGTAACTTGAATTTACTTAAAGTTGTACAAAGTATATTGAAGCAGTTGCAATTCCATGTCAAATATTACGAAGTACTTTCTGATTCTAGTCACGTATCAAGAAGTACTCTCAAGTATCTTTCAAGTATTGAGAAGTATGTCGAAGCATTCCAAAAAAATCTCAAGTAGCTGAAATTTTATTAAATGACATTAAACTCATTCAGTGAAAAAATATTCTTCGGAAAATCACCGGTATTTCTTATTTCTAATATACAGGACTAGTTTTTTATATGGAGACTTCACTTTTTTTGAGGATGATTTGATTGAAATTGATTGATATTTCTAAACCAATAGAAAAAATAATCTATTCCACCGATTATGAGTGAGGATGTGGGTGTATGGATATCTCTGTGGATGCGTGTATTGATGCGAGAGAGGACTTCAGAGGATTCACAGTCACACCTGTACCCTATCCACACCCGCACAGCCGCACCCTGCGTTATCAAAATATAAGCATCGGGACACGGATTTTATAATGTTAAAGATTTAAAAGTCTATCAATATTGTTAAACTATAGATGATCATTGTATTCTTCATGGTTTGTCGTTTTACATTTAAAATGTTTTTTTTCTTAAATCTATGGCTTTTTTTTTTATAGGTAATTACATTGTTATGATTGATATTTTTCAAAAAGATACATTAGATAGTGAAATTTATAATGAAGATTCTGAAATAATTATAGGCCATAATGGTGTATCAGAAAATTTTTATACAACAGTTGAATTTCTAACAATGTCATCCATTAAATCATTGAAAATTTTACATAAAAATTTCTTTTCAATCGTGACTCATTGAACAACTGTCGATGGAACAACAACAATACAAGAATTAATTTTATTACCTAATAAAGCTTGACATGGTGTAGGTCATTCTTTACCTACAATTGATGCAACAAGTCATAAAATTGTTTTTTTTACACACAAGAAGTTACTACATAAGTTTTAATAAACAACAAAGCTTATGTAGTTGATCAGAAAAATCCTTTATTATTATTATTATTGTCTTGTTTTCTTCTAGATTAATCAATGTCTTTTAGCAATACAAGACGCATTGGCTTTGAAGTAATTCTAAGTGTTAATCGTCGAACATTAGCATCGATTAGTAAAACAGCATTACATCATTATTACCATCAATATACAGATACGATGTATTTATAATTTATATGTAAATATCATCCTCAACTAGCGATGATGTCATTGAATGTATATCTGATTCATCAAATTATACGGATAAGATAAAAATTTTAATATTGTTTTTTTATATTATTTTACTAGTTATTAAATGATTTATTTTAATTAAGTAATAATAAAATTTAGTCGATCAAGACTAGATAGTAATGAAAACTTAATACTTGCATCAATATTTCATTCAATGTATATTATTACATGTCAGTTATCTTCCGAACTTAATTCAAGTGGTATACGTGAATTAGAAACAGATCAATTTAAACTTTGTTGTTTTCAATCTATAACTGAAATTAAATTTCTGTCATTAACTGATCTAATACAAGTTAATATTGATGCATTAATTAAGACATTTATATGAAATATATAGTGATTATGCATGAAAAATCTATTTTATTCAATGGATCAACCTATTCGAGATCTTTTATTTCAACAAACTGTTCAACAAGCTGATGACGCATTAGAAAAAATTAGTTCGCCTTATGCATAAATGTATTTTTTTCTAGAATAATTATTGTTAAAACCGAAGAAAACAAAGTCTCATTGTCCGTGTGAATGATGAATAAGGTGGTAATAGTGTTTATTTTTTACTTTCAATTGATATAACAAAAAAACTAATTGTAAGTAATTATAAGCAATGAAAGAAAAATAAATTCAGACAAATGCTCTTTTAACAGTTGACACCATTTGTATTGATTTTTTTGGATTGAGAAGGATCATGATCAGAAATATACGAGACAAGAGTTTCGTTAATTGCACTGTCAACATTCAACATTAAGTAGAACATTGAGAGTATAGTTTTTCATGGTTTAAAAATGACTACTATCTATGGACATAAAAGTTTTTGCTCTTCTGGATAGTATTAATTATTCTCATAACATTGATTAAAAAAATGCATAATTGTTATTTTTATTTTTATTCATCCTTTAAAAACTTCAGTTTCTTTTTCAATAATGTTAAAATATTTTATATAGAATATCAAGATTTTTAATAAGGTTAACAAGTAAAAAAAACGTTTGGTTGAAATTTTCAAAATAATGCCGTTAGCAGTTGTTCGGTTTCATTATTATTCTCTAACCTTAAGTACAAATAAAAGTTTCGTGAGCTGCATATTTGAAACATGTGAATCAGAGCTGGGTGTGGGACGGGAATATATAGGTGTGGATGTCTTAGTGTGTGAATGTGAGTAGAAGATGTGGGTGTGGGCAAGAGTATGAGGGGATGATACATGTCCACAAACACAACCATGTCTACGCTCCACACTGACATAAACTGACACCCGCACCCACATTTTTCCAGTACGTTTCTTTTTTTTGTTCCCTTATTGCCTTCTTTGCTTTGATGTGATAACTTATGTATTTTTCCAGTTCTATTAAGTTATTTATTTCGGTATATTCCACCTTTCTTCTGACATTTGATATAAATACCAGTTGTTTGTAAGTAAAAGGGAGAGGATTGAAGTTACAGATAGGAGTGTGGTCAAAGAAAGCATAATAAAACACCTATCCACGTCAACATTAATATTGAACATAACATTGACATTAAAAGCAGCTAAAAATTATCTGCAACAGCTATCATGTGCAAAAATAAATCATAGATCTCATACTTTCATGTATTTCAATTGCCAAGTATTATTGTTCTTTAATCCATTTCTCAATATACACTAATACTTCTTTTCACCTAATTGAAGATTAACTTTTTTATTTGCAACATATTTTTGAAAAATAAAAACGATGCGCAAAACCATATTTCGTTACCATTCTTATGCTGCGCCTACTCGCTTCTGCTTTTTTCATTTTCATTGTGAGCAACGTTTGTTCCGGTGCCGATTGGAATCCATCAAGGTTTTCTTACGATCCTGGTCCTGATTATGAATTGGTTTGGCAAGATGAATTTGAAAATGTAGGTTCTGTCAAAGGAATCATCAATGAAGCACCTGTCTATGCACCCAATCCGAAAAATTGGGTTCTAAAAACCGGTAATATCAATGGAGGCTTACAAAATTATACAAACTTAATTGAAAATGCATATGTACAAAATGGTCAATTGATGATAGTAGCAATGAAAGAAGGATACTCGTCAGCTATGCTTTCAAGTGTTTATCTTCAACAATTTACTTTTGGAAAATTTGCAGCTAAAATTCGTTTACCTTACTCAAAAGGTATATGGCCGGCCTGGTGGTTAGTAGGCAATGCTTGGGATAAATACAAACTTTATTGGCCGACAGTAGGGGAGATTGATATTTTGGAAATGGTTGGAGGTAGCGTATGGGGACAGCCAGGTGATCAGATTGCACATGGAACCGTTCATTGGAACAATGCATCAAATGAGATGAGCCCTTTATATCATGCTGTCAATGGTCAAATGTTCAAAACACCCGACGGCTCAAAGCTCCACAATAATAGTCTTGTCTATTGGAGTGAATGGACTCCAACCAATATTAGTATCGGTATCAATGAATTTATTTACTTCCAGTTCAATACGACAAATATTCCTGGATCAATTAATCTAGTAAATGCTTTCAATGGAATGTGGTCTTATTACATGATCCTGAATATAGCAATTGGTGGATCATGGCCTGGTTCACCTGATAATTCAACTGTTTGGCCACAACAAATGATTGTTGATTGGGTGCGAGTCGATCAACTAAAGAAATAGAACACTGGAGAGGGAAAAATAATCATCATTTTCTAGTTTACTGAGATATCAATATCGGTCTATTAACCTATATTTTTTCATTCAAGCTCATGCTCATCATGTAATGGATCTGCCTGAAGTTTTTTCAGATATAAGAATTTTATCAAGGCAATGTTTGCTCTATAGAACCAAGAAAGTGTGAATCAACTGATTATAGTACGCTTTAATCGAGCTTGAATTACTCTGAAGCATGCGTGTGAAAATGTTTTAAAAAAAACTCAAAAATAAGCACACGAAAAAAAAAGACATCAGTATTGTGATATTTATATACTGCTGTTTTCATTTACAACAAGCCAAAGTTGTACGAGGCAGCGTGCGGGTGTGGGTACGAGTGTGGAGTGTGCGTGTGGACGTAGATATAGGTGTGGATGTGTTTTCAGAGAAGAGCCGCACTAACCTAGCAAGGACAGTGCCACTCACTCCGATTGTACATGAGTGCAAAATCTCAAATTCTAGCGTGTTGACCAAGTACATTACAGTACACCACAGTACATAATAGTGCATTAGAGTACAAATGCTGCAAGTTCTAGATTTTCTCAGTACATTACAGTACATAGTAGTACGTCAGAGTACACATCCTACAAATTCTAGGTTTTTTCCACAGTACATGACGATACATGACAGTACATTGCTATACAAATTCTCAAATTTTAAGTTGGGGGGCCCGTATTCTTCGCAGAGTACAATTTGTACTTGTATTCGTGTAGCCCTCTATGTCAAAACTATTGCTTCAATTTTCCGATTCAAACCTGTCATTTATTATTCAGGAGATGCATCTATTTATGGTATTGGTGCAGTAATAATGTAAAACAAACTAGTAAAAGTGAGTAACCAGTTGCATAAACATTTCAAAAGTTAAACAAGCAATAACAAAATTGAAATGCAACTGAGAAAAAATGTATTTCTATTCTTTCATCCATACTGGAATGGAATCATTAGGCGACAAGTCAAGATATTATTGTCCGAACAGGCCATGATGCATTATGTTGATTAAATCGCAAATACAACAGCAACTCAAAACTTAATTGATAGAAAATGGCTCTTGAAGATTATATATTTAAAATTGAACATGTTAATGGTAATGAAAATTGTGTTGCTGATTATCTTTCTTGGTATCGATTTAATCAACCTTCCTTGTCGTCTTCAACAGGAAATACATATCTAGTAGTATTACTGATTTATTAGTTAAATATGTTATTGTAAAAGCTATTCGTGATATGTCCACTTGAACTGTATCAAAAGTATTGGTAGAAGAAGTGATATTTAAACATGAAACTCTAGAAAAAAAGTATTAACTAGTAATGATACTCATTTGACTGCTGCATTATTTAATGCTATTGTATGTTTCTGTGATGTTTGTGAACGATTTATTGTATCAGTATATGTAATAAGTTAATATTAATATGTAACAACAACCGAACCGATTTGGATAAACAATTATGGAAAATCATATTTGTGTATAATACCAGTCATCATCTTAGTACAAAATTAATTCTCTTTGAAGTGATGCTTGGGTAATGAAGTAAAATTTTCCTTTGATTCACGAAAACAAACAATAAATAATCATTGAGCGTCATCATTTATGTAAAACAACTAAATAATATTTACAAACAGCAAAACAAATGTGTCATACCAAGATTGAGCTTAATCAGACAAAAGAATCAAAGCAACGTTATGATGCTAATCCTATGAATGAAGTTTATTCAATCGGGGACTTTGTTTATAACAAAGATCTGAAATTGAATCCCAAATCACTACTAATATATGTTGGTTCACATCGAATAATTCAATAGCTAAACAAATCCACATATCAAGTACAAAATTAAAATGATTGACATAAAATAGTTCATGTACACACTAATCAGATACGTTAATGTTATCAATATCCACTAGGTCAAGAAAAAAAGACCTATATTCCTTACAACTTTTGCTATCGAAAGGGGCATCTGTAACAATGTTGAATTTATAGAATTATTAGATAATGGTTGAATATATGATAACAAAGAAACAGGAAAGTCAAGTCGCAAATGAATAGAGAATAAATCTTTTGGTTATGACTAATAGGAGTGCACATGGTCTTGTTTTCGTCCTCTATACTGTTTTGTATCTCTTGATTTTTTTCATTGCTTTATTTTGTTACTAATAGATTTTTGTTGTTCCTCGTGTTAATTCGTCATGTTTTGCTAGTTTCTCATCGATTATGATACACTGTAACATAAGCATATATTTCAATGAGTTATTACGTCAGTAAAATGTCGTATGAATCATCGTTCTCATTCGTTACTGATTCCCTCGGGAACATACGCCAACGGCGTGAGTGTGCGTATGAAATAAAAAATCTGTAGTCTGCGTAGTAATACGAAGAATTATATCGTTGATCATTTTATAAAAACAAAGATGAACTAATAAAAGTCACCAGAGGTGCAGAATCTTCCAAAAATCCAAAAATTTCCCCCACGCAAAAAAGTTTTTTGAAAAATTTCCCCACTGTATTTTTTTGGCCAGCGGATTTTTCCAAAATTTCCCTATTATTTGAGTTTTTCAAAAAATTTCCTCCCTCGCGCGGGGGCGCATGAGGAAGATTCTGCACCTCTGAAAGTCACAGTCAGCACTAGTAATTATATAGAGAGATATCATGAATATTGTTTATTTCAATAACGAAATATCCCATTCCAAATAACTTGTGCATATGATAAAGTGCAGTGTCGTATTTACGTCAAATGATATTTTTTACATTGAAACTACTAACTCGTGCTCGATCAGGTACTATATTTTATATTATCTTTTCTGTTTGTTTTCTGTGTACTTCAATAATCATTTTGTGTATTAATGACGTTAAGGATGTACTTGTAGTTCAAGAAAATATTATAATTTTGTGGCTTATTCTCAAATGGAAGAAAAGTAAGTGGGCAGTTATGTAACATTGAGTACAGTTTTCGTGAAAAATGAATCTAAATACGTTTAAAATCGGTGAACGTTACTATTCCGTCCATTTTCATTGCATACATAAATACAATGCAACATTGTTTTTCTGTATCATTGCAATTGCAATGATGGCGGCTAATGTCTATGGAGACGATTTGGAAGTTCTAATAGCTTCAGCTAGCTCGATGTTTAATAACACACAGGATGTAGTAGTCGAAGTACAATACAATAACACTAGTCCTGACATAATATCGATTTATAATTGGTGTTTACTAGGCAATGAATTAAAAGATACATTATTTCAAATAGCCTGTAATGATATTCTTGTTGTTTATATCTGTCTACTACTAAAATGACATAAACCGATTGCTAAAGATGTGATCCTCATGCGATCTGATGAAACAAAAGTCATTCAAGCTCGACTATCATCGACACGTGATATGACCAAGACTGGCACTTATTCAATTCAATATAGTATGCCAACTGAACGTGTTGTCTTCAAGGATGCTCAGACATTGTGAGTTTTCATGTCAGGGCCATTAATAAGTATCATTCTGATCTCTAGTCAAATAACATTCAATTGAACATCGAAGATCGTCCAAAGATTCCAGATGAACAACATACTATTATGAATATGGTTACAACAGCAGCTACTCTTTCTTATGTTTCTTGTTCAACAACACAGAGATCGCCAATAATGAATGTAGTCTCTTGACCTCTTAACTTTGCCAATTATTCTTTCATTTATTTGAATACGATGAAATCTTATGGAACATATATCACTATAAGACTTGGTTTAGTACATTAATGTTGATCAATTGGAATACAGCGACCGAACAGTATAAAAATATCAAAAATGTATTTAATTCAAAGACTATGAGTTTTGATTGTGGTCGTAGCGATGCTGGTACCTATTCTAATGTTTACACGAGCCAGCCATACGCAATCCACTTATACTATATGTTCTGGTCAGCTACAATGACAAGTACAGATTTGAAGGCTGGCACAGTTATTCATGAAACTTCACAATTGTTGTTGGTACGCATGATTATGTATATGATCAGACAGCATGCACAAGCCTATCTTTGAGTGATCTATTGAGAACAAACCTGAATATTTTGTCGAAAATACCCCTGTGCGCGTTTGACGAGTTGAAGGTGATTCAGACTTAACCAAGATATATTTTTGTGTGAACAACGTTTACGACTTGATATGCTATTCATTTCTTTTTATATGAAAAATATGTGATTTTAATTTATGTTTTTTGGGCCACAAATTTGAGGATAAATACGATACGTTGTACAGTATCCTTCAATTTATGAATCATATAATCGAGTTCTCGTTTTTTGAGTTAATAATCAAATGTTTATTTTTGTTGTTTGAAGTGTACATTTTCATTAATAAAGAGGTTCAGTTGTTTATGTCGACGCTCAGATATTTTTGCTATGATTAGCAATTCATTCAATGCGCCTAATATAGGATGCTCGATTTCCAAAGAGTTTGTGTTTCGGGCATATTGAATGACATTTTGATTTCGGTGGGGTACACATGAAACATGTGCTATATTCGAATGAAGTTGTGTTGATAAAATATACTTGGGTAATTGAGTTTTCTGTTGAATTTGCAGTGTTTTGTCTAATGATGATGATGCCGTTAAACAACCATTCATTCATATGATACATTATAAGAGCTCCTAGGAAAGTAGATGAGTTTCTCGAAACCAAATGAGTTTTCAAAAATTAGACGCAAGTCTAAAAATCGGAAGATGCAGTAAAAAAAGTTTTTTACTAATCAATACAGTTTTCCCCAATAAAATGTGGAGTAAGAAGGTAACACATTTGTAACTCTTCTCTTTCGATATGGTGTCACAGGAGTGAGTAAGTTGCTTTTCTGCTCTTGTGGCCTATGATGCTCCATTCATCATAATGAATGGAAGAAATAAATTTCTGGAAAACTAATTGACGACACCGAATCCATTCATTGAACAATAAGAACCAGCTATATTATGATATGTTCAAGTTAAATTTAAATGATGTGTTAGAAGATGAACAACTTCAAGTTCAAGTGTACGTTGATGACTTTCAATTGCTTCTTGGCATTTTCCTTCTCGGTTAAATCCCACGGCAAGATTATTATGAAGTGAAGCGGTATTTATAGAATAAGATTTTGAAGAACTTAATTGGCTTTCAAAACTTTTTTCGTAATAATTTATTGCTAGATCAAGATCACCTTCTTGTCGAAAAATTTCTCCAATATTTGGATAAGTTGGTGAAAACTTCTGATAATTAGACGATGAATAACTTAAATCAATTTGCAGAGATTTTTCATAATATAAAAGTGCATTTGAAAGATCAGTTGGTGTCTCAGGAATAAAACCAAATTGATTATAAACAAAAGAACGTTCTTGTTTATTATCATTGGATGTTATTTCAATAATTTACTATAAATTTCTTCAGTTTTCTTAATCTGATCCATAGCTAACATTAATTTAGCTAATCGACGCGAATCAACTGGTTGTTGTTCTGCTATTTCACGTGAATGTATTGTTAAACGATTTAATTATTCATCAATATCCGTAGTTAGTGTTTAGTTAATTTGCCATATTTGCATGAGTTGCCTAATTCGAGTTCGAATATAAATAAAGAGTAAATTGTTTATTATTCCTTCGAAAATAAATGACAAAATGCCTTCCATGTCGAAACAGCAAAAAAATCCAAAGACTAAAATGTACATAATTCGAATTAACAAATTCGAGGACACACCCATCTCGAATTAGGAAAAAGCAGATAATAGAAATTTTTCTAAATTATAATAATGGAGCTGATGCAATGTATTCTTATCTGACATGCTGAAACTAAAGATTGAGATCCTATAAGCATTACCTGAGATGATAGAAACATTACAGGAGATAGTAACATTTCCCATAGCTCTCCGATGCATACACTAGCTAGATGCGTGACAGTGAAATATAATGCTAATATAAGGCTAACACCCTGGCCTTTAGCCACTCTGATTCGAAGAATGCTAGGGCTAGTCTTAATACGACGCACCTAGTAATCATCTACTGCAAAAGGCTTTTTCCCACGTAACTGACCTTTTATTCCAGCGTCGCGGCGTGAGAGCGTGAAGCGCTCCCAGAAAAATTTTTCTTTTGCTTTTCTTGCTGTTTTAACATGGATGTGCCTTCGAATTTATAAATGCGAATTATATAAAATTTAATCTTTTGCTTATTTGCTGTAGAAACATCGGAGCAATTTTCTTTTGAATTTTTCGTTTATTTTCGAACTTGAATCAGGCATATATTCTATACTTGTTCATCAACTATTTTAATGTATTTATTACGAAAAATCATATAGTTTATTTATTCAATCGTAATCGATTACTAATCATTAGTATTGGTCTACAGACCAACAATATAATTGTATGAAGTGTGCTGGTTAATGAATAAAAATAATCGAAAACATATCTCATGCCTTTGACGTGGCTATCAAGTTATGATGAAAAAAAAGTTCATTGAAAATGGTAAGAGTTTTGTTCGAATCCAAAAACATTCGACCCAAATTGACTCAAGATACAGCAATCAATATACATTGAAATCTACAGCAAGACAATGGAATTTCTTTGCACTATTTTATTTTACAGAAATGAATTTCAGTTATAGTCTATTATGCTGATTGTTCATTATTCTCCTCCTGAGATTTGATAATTTGTAAAGAAAAAGATTGTTACTATTATCTTCTCTTTTACGATAACAATCATTCCATCGTGTTTTCTATATAGAGTGTCACAAAAATTCCTCTAAAGCATTTCATTTATGAATATTGAAATTAAAGCACTATTACTTCTTTTCATCATTTCAAAATATTCATTTAGATAAATTTTGGCCACAATAAACAGTTAACTGATATTTATCATTTGCTTTTATATGTAGTTCTTTGATTCATTCGTACAGATCACGCATAAAAAATCTCATTTTTATTATTATTCCAATACCTTTTGAATGTAACACACGATTTAACATTGAATATATATAGAACATTCACCTCTACACCATCATATTGGTGTATGAAGTTTATAATCATGTTCAAAGTCATTAATGATTCCTATTTCAGTAACATTCTATGCATGTTGTATACGGCAGATTTGAACAAGTTCTTTACTATTAATTTCATTATATTCCACATCGAGAAGAATTTTCTTTTAATAATTCTGAACACATAAATATTTGATCAAATACATTTAAACAAATAACAGATGTAATTTTCATTATATTTATTGAAATGAATTCTTAATTAGATTGATCAATATCTTGTTCAAGTGTATCACAGATAGTTTTCACTTCGTTATATGTATCTTTTATTTTATTACATTGTTGAATTACTGATTTAGTATTTGTTTTTTTCTTATAGAAAATATAAATTGAATCAATGTGATTACTTTTATGAATATAAGATATGATTTGTTTTCTATATTGATCAGAAACTACAAAAACTATTTTTTCATCTTTAATTGAATTAAGAAAATCAATGCATTAATCAATATTTTTTCAATCATTATATTGAGTTAACAATACGTTGAAGGTGATTGATTAAATTTTCATGATCATTTTTAGACTCATTCATATTTAAATCTAACAAAATGATAATTAAATTTTCAATAATACGTGATTCGGAAATTTGTGTTCAAACAGTATTATCATTGTAAATATCATTTAATTTTGATAGATATATAATACAAGATATACCTTAATTGAAAACCATCTAACAGTAAGTTTTGACTTTTCTTGACCAATTACGTACACTTGATATTAGTACTGTAATGTCGAATGTGAGCAACAAAAATTGCTATTTTCCATCAATTTAAGAACAATTTTATTTCATATTGAAGATCTTGATCAGCATCAAAAGAAATATGAGTTTTTTATAAGAATTTTTCAGTTGTTATTTGAAATTCGAAAAATTTTCTTTCATTAATATCATCGTTTCTGTTACATTACTTTGATTGAAAAGTTTTAACAAAAGAAACAAAAGAAAGTGAATGCAAAAATGTCTGCACTATTTTCTCCTTTTTTAAAAGATAAAATCTCAATCAGGTTCTTTTCGATATATTTTTAATTAAATAACATTTTTTTTTAGTGTCCTATTACATTGATCACTCTTGAAAATATTGTTATCGCAATTTTAATAACAGCTTTGATTTACAAATGATAATTTTCTGAAATTCTTTGTAAATAAGCAGAACTGAGAAGTTAATTAAACTGAAGAAAAAAACCTTCTGTTAAGCAGCATACCAAGCCATGAAAGAGACTGATAAGAAAGCATAACTAACTGTTGGACGCCTTTTTCTATTTCAAACTATGCCTACGGGTAGATCCCTGTGAGACTAAAAAAAAAGTTTGAAAGCATTTAGGTGCACAGTCTAATGATGAAAAGTTATGACAACTTCAATGAAATTATTTTTACTGAGAGGAAAACAGTTCAACAATTTCAAAACATAGTATGAACCTAAATTTTTGTCTACAGGTAGATTTAATAGTTGTTGAATAGTCCTAAAAGTTTCAATGAAAATGAATATGTCTTTCTCGGGATACTTGATTTCCAAGAAGACTCGGCTACTGTGTTCTCCTGTGGTAGACTACTGGTATTTTTCGGCACATTGAGTATCTCGAGCAAGACATGGTTTTTTTTGCTGAAACTTTCAGAACTATTCGATAATTACTAAATCTACTTACAGACATGATTTCGAGTCAAACCTCATTGTTTTGAGTTATTCGGGAGTGCCATACTGTCAGTAAAAAATTCTAGAACATGTCCATAACTGTGAGGTCCGACAGCATCTAACATTTTAAAAATGTTCTCTTGTTAGGTGAATTACGTCAAACTAAAAATAAAATATAAATATAGACAACAATCAGAAAGTTTGCAAACATTCTTATTGTAAACGAACTATTCATTCACTGTATGCAATAATCTTTTCTTGAGCAAATTATCAATAGAAATTTATTGAAAATCAAGATTTGTAAACCGCTTCCTTACATATATGTTAAAAATATTATCCTAGATTATGACGAAATCAAATTTTAAAACAGAAATATTGTTGATTAATAAGAAGTACGCATCGTAACATTAGAAAAAACTTTTTGAAACAATTTGACATATTATTTTCATATTAAGATTATGGATTTATTCCGCGTGTTCTGACCAGCAGATTCTAAAAGTTTATCAATATAAATTATGTTCTTCTTTTTACAACTGAGATATCATCATCATCATCATTTAGCAATCATTTGCCGTCCACTGTTGGACGAAGGTCTCTCCCATGTTCTTCCATTTATCTCTATTTTGTGCCACAGTGCTCCAGTCATTTCCTAGGAATGAATGAATTTCATCTCTCCATCTCGTGGATTGTCTTCCAGGTTTTCTTTTCCCGTCCATTATTTGCCATTCTGTGGTGAGCGTGGTCCATCTATTGTCTTGTTGCCTAGCAACATGTCCTACCCATCTCCACTTGTTTCTTTTTATTGTTCTTGTTATGTCGATAACTTTTGTTTGTTGTCTGATGTGTTCGTTTCTAATTTTATCTATTTTTCTTATGTTCAGCATACTTCTTTCCATTCCTCGTTGATTGATTGCAAGTTTTTTTCTCTAATCTTTGTGTCATGTTCCATGTCTCTGATCCATATGTCATTACTGGAAGTATGCATTGGTCGAATGCTTTCTTTTTTAGACACAGAGGAATGTCCGCTTTGAATATTTTGTTCAATTTTCCAAACTATCTCCAACCTTGTGATATTCTTCTGTTTATTTCTGTTTCAATATTTCTATTTGTTTCTATCATTTGACCCAAATAGACGAAATTGTTGATTTTCTCAATCTCTTGGTTGTTTAGTTGAATTTTTCTATCGTCTTTTATATGATTATTGATCATAATTTTTGTTTTACCGATGTTGATGTTGAAGCCGGATTTTATACTTTCTTTTCGAAGTTCTTCCATCATCGTTTGTAAGGTTTCCAAGTTGTTTTCGAAGAGAACAATGTCATCGGCAAATTTTAGGTTATTTAGGTATTCTCCACATATTGTAATCCCCTTTCCCTCCCAGTTTAGTCGCCTGAATATATCTTCGAGACATGTAATGAAAAGGATCGAAGACATCGTATCACCTTGTCTTATTCCTCTATTTATGTTTATATCGATTTTAATATTATGAAGATTTATAGAAATCTTAGCATTATCGTATATGTATTTAATTAGATCAATGTATTGCCTTTCGATATGTTGATTTTCTAAGGCTTCAATGATCGCTGGTTTTTCTAAAGTGTCAAATGCCTTTTCAAAGTCGATGAATGCCATGCATAGTGGTTGATTGAATTCTTTTGTTTTTTCTAGGATTTGATTTAGTGTGTGAATATGGTCTATTGTAGAGAAACCTTTTTTAAATCCTGCTTGTTCTCTGTCTTCTACCTTTTCTAATTTTATCTTTAACCTGTTGGTTAAGATTTTGGTAAACAGTTTATAGAGATGCGAGAGGAGACTAATTGGTCTATAGTTTTTTAGATCAGTGTGATCTCCTTTTTTGTATATGAGGATGGTATTTGCATTATTCCATTGTTGTGGTATTTTCTTTTCTTTTAAGCATTTGTTAAAAAGTACTTGAATAGTTTTTAGGACAGTTATTCCTCCATTTTTTATCATGTCAGTAGTTATACTGTCTGGACCTGGAGTCTTATTATTGGGCATTGATTTAAGTGCCATTTCTATTTCTCCTAGTATTATTCTAGGAACATCATCTTCATGATCATAGTTACTTTGTGGTTTGTTTATCTTGCTTGTTGTTTTTGTTTCGTATAGGTCTTCATAGAATTCTTTGATTCTAATATTCATTTGATGTCTGTCATATAGGATATTTCCATTTTTTATCTTTTAAGGAAATTATTTGGTTTTGCCCAAGTGACATGTTTTTGAAAGTTCTTTTTAGGCTTTTGTTACTTTCAATTGTGTTTTGAATTATTCTTGTGTTGTGACTTCTTTTTTCTATTCGTAGGTTTTTCTTTATCGTTTTGTTTAGTTCTGTGAGCTCTATATGATTTGTATTGGTATTTAATTTTGTTCTTTTTTCAATTAGTTTTTGTGTTGTAGGAGATATTTTAAAATTATTTTGATTTATATGTGGTTCATTTGCAAGTTTTTCTGCAGTATCAACAATTATTTTTGTTAGAGTTTCATTTATTTCATCTATACTCATTTCGTTGAGGTTCATTTGTGTTTTTATCATTTGATCAATCTTTGTTTCAAATTCTTTTTGTTTTGTTGTGAGTATGTCATTATTTATTTGTAGCTTCTTTTTAAGGATTAATTTTTTTCTTTCATTTTTGGTATTAATCCTTATTTTACCTCTAACCATTCTATGATCACTTCCTGTTTTGATTGAATTTAGAACTTCAACATTTTTGAAGATATTCATTTTGTTGGTTAGGATAAAATCAATTTCATTTTTGACACAGTTATTTGGCCCTCTCCAGGTCCATTTTCTATGGGGCTTTTTGTAAAAGAAACTGTTTGTTATTTGTAGATTGTTTTTGAGGGCAAAATCAATTAGCATTCTCCCTCCATCGTTTCGATCTCCTACTCCAAAATTGCCCATAGCTGTTTCTTTATTATCCTTTTTCTTTCCTATCTTTGCGTTAAAATCACTCATTATTATGGTGAAATACGTTTTTTCTTCTTTTAATAAGTTTTCGATTTGTTGATAGATTTCAATGACTTCTTGATCATCATAGCTTGTTGTTGGTGCATATACCTGGATTATTTTCATTTTATATCTTTTATTTATTTTCAAAGTTAATTGGGCTAATCTTTCATTTATACCTTTTATACTTATTACTTTTTCTTCAAGTTTCTTGTGTATCAAAAATCCTACGCCATGTTTGTTGTTATTGGCGGTTCCATATGTATAGAGTGTATGACCATTTTTTAATTTAATTAGATGTTCACCTTTACATTTTGTTTCACTTAAACCAATAATATCCCATTTTATTTTTGATATTTCTTCTTCGAATTCTTTTCTTTTCTCTTCTTCTCTAAATGTTCTTATGTTGTAAGTACAGATATGCATATTTATTAAGCTTGGAGCTTTGTGGTTTGGTTTGTTGTTTTTTTGGGTTGGCACCTGTAGCCTATTTATCGTTTGTGACCCACTGCCGAAATCACAAACGCGGTCCTTGTTTGTCCGGGCGACGACCGAGCCGGCATCAATATTTAGCTTATGTACTTTCATCGGGGGTTTATAGCCGATAAAACACCACGCTGGCTAGACGGGTTGGTGAGTGTTTGTCATCTGAGTTTTCTCTCCTAGATGAGTTGCCTACCATGGCTGGGAGCCTCATCTGCCCTGGCTAAGGCTTATGAAACTTGATTTTATCAAATCTCGCTTCTGGCGACCTTTACTCGCCGTATCATCTTGTCGTCTTTGGGTTTCTGTAGCATTTTATAGGGGTCTTGATGCCATCCAAAACTCCACTACACCCTGTTGGCAAGAGGCTAAATTGTCCGGGACTGCTTATTTGAGCAATTGCTTGTTCTTATTCGCAGCGAACCATCTTACTAATGGCCGTTCCACTATCCGCAACCTGTGGACCCGCTTGGTAGCGTTTAGCTTAGCCCCAAGTACTGAGATATATTGATCGCGTATTTCCAAGAGTTATCTTATTGGATTAAGATTAGTTTTTGTTATAATTCTACCATGGATAAGATTCTCTCAACTCATAAAAAAGAAATTGATTCATCTTAGCTTTATAGCAGTAATCGATTATTTTTGATTCGAATGTCTGATAGAATTTGACTTCTTAGATTTATCGATATCTTAAAACATAAATTATTTGTTCATTATCAATTTTCTCCAAACTTTGAATTACTTGTATTACAATTTTTACAAAAGATTAATCATTACGAAATATTTGTAAATTTAGTTGATCACTCTAATTACAAAAGCTAGCATATACGAGTATGAGGACAGCAGAATGGTTCTCCTATTCTAAATTTTTGTTGCATTCTGCATTTCTCCCTAAAAATGACCTATGTAGAGAAATAACTTTTGTAATAATTTAGTGGAACTAATTTGCTATGCAAAAGCGTAGTTCTGTTTAAAATTTTATAAAGAAAATCAGTTATTTTCTTTCGAAGAGAAACTAAACCAAGTCATAATCTGATTAGTAAGACATTAAAAAAACAGCAGATAAGACACATGTCAAAAGTATGGTTTAATTGTCAGTACATCTAAAACTCATTTAATAGATTACGAAATCCAGCTCAATATCTGGACAACAACTTCAAGTGTTCTTTTACTGAACATATTTCATCCAAGTAGCTTCTTAGCTACCCATTGATTATCTTGTTTTAAAATAAATAAACTTTCAATAGTTCCATAAAATATTGATATAGTGTACTTTTTTGAATATGACACTCAGGACACTTTCTTAGGATACCATAGGTGACGCATAGTCAATTTTTTTGATAAAGCAGTAAAATTTTAAATGGATTCACTTTATCTCTCTCTCTCTTCCAATAGTGGAGGATGTGAATGAGAAGAAGTACATTCTCACCCACACGCATATTAAAATATACGTGAACAATAATGATGAATAGTAGACCAAATGTCATAAAACATTTGAAAGAACATTACTTTTAAAACTATTGATGTACGCAGTTTTTGTATGTAATAAAAATATATGTTTAAAATTATTAAAAATTTCTTTACGAATTTAGTAACATAATAAGTAGTGACGAAGAAAAAAGTGTTCACGATTAAAGAAGAGAGTATATTTTTCAGAAAAAACAACTGAAGAATGAACAGTTCCTTTGTAACTTTGGAGGGCTTTCTCCCTTAGTTCTTCCTCCTCTTAAGCAGAACTAAACGAAAGTTATGACATAAACTAACAACGGTATTGAGATAAAAGTTGATTTGAGATTGATTATAATTCAATTGTATCTTAACAAAATGAAACAACTGAGTCTGAAGAAAAATTTTCATTGAGTTTGATTTCTTGTTTAGTTTATATTCTTCTACATTGTTGAACTTTAATTTCTAAATAATATAGACAATTTTTCTGAGTGTCTACTCAAGAGCAAATAATGATAAATCAAATATCATGAAGATAGTCGTGAATTCAATAGCAGACAATCGGATCTTAGACTTCGTTCTTGTAAAGATAATGAAAATTCATTTTTTTTTGAGCGTCACTATTTTGAAGAATATGAATATTTTAAAAGATATATCATTTGTCATCTAAATTTCATTAATCAACACAATAGATAATATGATCTTCTATATTAATTCGATAATGGATTTAATTAATGGATGCATTCTTTCAATACCTGTGAGCCGTTCGAAAATTCGATAACAAAGCTCGGTGATATTTATTAGTATGTGTCTGATATATCGTTAGTGACGTTTCTTTTATTAATACTACAGTATAATAAAACATTTTATTTTTTTTTAAGATTGTAATCAAAGTCATATCATATTCAAATGAATTAACCTTCAGAAGAATTTATGATTATGATTTATTTTAATGGAAAACGATATTGAAAAAATGATGTTGTATATTTGTTCTCAATTGATTTTATACACCGATAGATCTCCATATATCGAAATCACAGTTGACATTCTTTTCAATTTCGACAGCAGTTCGTAGTTTATTTTAATAAAACTTCTCATCATGTCAAATTAATTAATTTTAATCAAAAATTTGCCCACTATAAAACATTTATTGTTGATTTTACCTTCGATATTTAACATTATAAGTAGAAATCTGCTCATTTTTTGTATGAATAAAAGCGTAAGTCATGTTGAGTTGCCTAATAAATGTTTAAGAAACATTTTTCAATTCATGGTTTGTCTTTCTATTGTGTTCACGTATGTTATGAACGTTTTCAACTGAGATGTTTTTTGCTATCAGAAACAAAAAAGACAAATTGTTATAAACTACACTAAAAAATTAGAAAAATAAAATAAATTGGCTATTGGATATTTCAAGTCGAAATGACTTTTTATTTAGATACTTAAATATAAATCTGCTTAGATATTATTTTTCAGTCTATTAAGCTTATTCCCTTCAAAAAAGTCAATTTTCTTGAGAAAACATAAAAAATCGAGATAAATACATGACAAGATCGCTCGAATTCTCGAAGAAGCTTCATTGTAGCCAATCGCTTTTGTTTTTGTTTGAAAGATCATGGCAAGATGTGGGGCATGGCAGATAGTAAAGTCTTCTCATATTGACAAAGAAAAATTTTCAAAAATAGGGCTCTGTTGTGCCCTACATCCTGGCATAACGTGTCAAACAAAAAAAAACGAAGTTTATATTATAGCCTATCTACTGCAGTCTCAGCATAACCTGAAAAACTCATGCACTTTTGAATGTCACTAGGCTAAGATGAGTTTTGAGGAGCAAGTCTTAAGATTTTATTTTTATGTAAAATCCATTTTGAAATCGAAGAAAATTCTAAAAACATATGAAATGATTTGTATTTTCATTTTTTTTTTAATTATATTGTCTCCATGAAAAAAATTCTTGATGCCAAGATTTTTTGTCACAGACATTAGTGTCCTCTATTTCATCAAGTTAAAACCATCTCTTAATAGACGGCATATGCTTTATAAGTGCGTCAGCAGAAAAAAAAATCCAGTGATTTTATCTTGCAATTTAGAAAATACCGAGTAAGTTCCTCAGATAAAAAAATCTTAAGAGTGCAATCGTGGTATATTATCATAATTTTTTATAATTGTTTCTTTTTTATTCACCTATCAGTATATTTTTTTCGAAAATAAAAGAAAAAGTCATCTTCTTAATCAGCTGTTTAACAAAAAACAATATTTACAGGTAAATATTTCATCCAATCGGTAGAATGTTTTATTCCTTCTCAAAAAATGTTCTCTCTAACACATAAATGCATTTTAATAAAACATCTTACCAATCAGATAATCATGTGAACCATTTGTCCACCAGTTGTCGCTAGTACTTCCGCTTTGTGCTGTAAGTTATGCATGCTCGATCGGTCGGGCGTATGTATAGGAGTATCCGGAATAAATAGTTGTCTTGAATATATGTTCATAATAAAAAAAAATTGGAATTAAAATTTTTCGTATATTTTTTAATAAATTTTATCAAATAAAAAGAAAAAGAAAATGATTCCAATTATTTCTCTATAGATCAATCGGCGTTTGTTTTATCATTTGATATTTTACACCAAAAAATAAAACATCTGTATATGACGATGGATGATGGCTGACTTTCTTGGTCTACAACAACCGCCGACAAAAAAATTTCGTTCGGGTACGAATACAAACGAATCAGGTATTAGAGAAGACAAAACATAAATTATTAACTTTTTTTATATTCAAATCTTTTAAGATTTTGATTTTAAAATGATTTCACAATATGATACACCCGATACAAACAATACTCAAGATTTATTTGATATTGGAACTGATTTTAATGACACACTTGATACTACCCAACAACAATCACAACAAACATCTACAACATCAACATCAATACAATCAACAGTACCATCATCATCATCAAGTCCAATTTTAAATCAACAATCGACAAATATTTATCAACAACAAACACAACCTCGACTTACATATATACAACAAACACGTACACAATTACCATCATATCAAACACCAAATTTACAACGTATTCAAACAATGCCACCAACATCAACTATTGTTCGACCGACTAATGTTATATCAAATGGTATACAACAACAACCAACTATTTATACTCAACAACAGCAACAAATGATTAACCCATCAGGTGGACTTAATCGTCCCTTATATCAACGTATGCCAACAGCAACACAACAATCAAATATGTCATCAACACTTGTTCGACAACAATACAATACAACTGGTATGGTTAATATGAATCAAAATGTACCACAAATGAGTATTGTTAAAGTAAGAAAAAACAAAATTCATTTCAATCATATTAAACAAAATAACTTTTTTTTTCTTATTTAGGCAAGTGATCCAAATAATAATAATGTATTTGTTACAAATTCTCAACAACAACAACAGTCAACATTACTCGGTTTACAACAAACAGTGACACAAACACCAACAGTTCAAACAAATAAAACGATTACAACAGTTCTACCTTCATTGACACCACAACAATTGAATCAATTTCAAACTCAACAACAACAACAACAACAACAACAACAACAGCAGCAGCAACAACAAATTCATATACAACAACAACAACAGCAAAATACTGTTCAAACTTATAATACGACACCAATGAGAGTATGTAAAAATGTGTATCTTTTAATTTTTTTAAAATTTTATACTTTCTATTAGACACAAATGATGGATCAAACACCAACAAATTACATAGTAACTTCTCAACAACAACAACAACCAACACAACAAACAACAAATAATTCTCAACAACATACAGAAATTCAACGAAAACAATTTATACAAAAACAACTTGTTTTATTATTACATGCACATAAATGTCAACAACGTGAAAAACAAACAATTAATGGTGAAACAACACGTCCAAGTACATGCACATTACCGCATTGTAATACAATGAAAAGTGTTCTACAACATATGACTAAATGTAATGATCATAAAACATGTAGTGTAGCACATTGTGTTACATCCCGACAAATCATATTACATTGGAAACAATGTAATAATTCTCAATGTCCAATATGTCAACCACTTAAAACACCATCTACATTAGCAAAATTAAATCAACCATCAAATACAAATACAAATATAAATCCAACAAATTTAACACCAAATAATACAAATACAAATACAAATATACCATCAACAACAAATACAAATTTAACAAGTGAACGATCAATAACTAAAGATTGGCAACGACGTGTTACATCAGAAATGCGTAATCATCTTGTACAAAAAATTATAACAGCACTTATACCTATAACTGATACAGGTGCTGTACGTGATAAACGTATTATTAATTTAGCTAATTATGCACGACGTGTTGAAAATGATACATTTGAAATAGCTAATAATCAAGAAGAATACTTTCATAAATTAGCTGAAAAAATTTATAAAATACAAAAAGAATTAGAAGATCGTCGAGAAAAAAAACGTTTACAAGATATGCAATTAGCTGCACAAATATCATCATCAACAACAACAACAGGACAAACAGGATCAACAAATGATTATAATGGTAAACTTCATTCAACTATGGATACAATGGCCGGTGATCATGGTCCACCAAATCGTACAGCACCTATGACTGATTATACATCATCATCATCAGCTACAGGAAATATTCTTCATCAACCATTAACAACAGTAACAAATTCTAGTCGAACAACAACATTAAATGGTACAACAAATACAAATACAGGAACATTTACAATAACAAATGTACCACCAAATGAAAATTTAAATTTTCTTATTAATCGTGATACAACAACTAATAATCAACAACATGATATTGATATGATAGATACAACAAATCAAATAAAAACTGAATCAATTTCACCAAAATCATCATTACAAGTATATAGTTATATTTAATTATTTTTTAATATTCTTTAAATTTTATTTCTCATCTTTTTTCTTAGCCTTCATCATCGTATTTCATGATTAAAAAAGAAGAACCAACAAATAATGATATTTTACATTCAACAGTTACGATTAAATCACCTGGATCAACCGTATATCAAGATACGAAACCAAAATTACCACAAATTGATTCAACAAGTAAACAATTACCTAAACATCCGATACAATTTACAGCTGAAGATTTACGTACACATCTTGAACCAGTTATTCATAAAATGATTGCATGTGAAGATTCACATCCATTTCGTCAACCGGTTGATCATGTTGCACTTAATATACTTGATTATCCAACAATTATTAAACATCCTATGGATATATCAACAATGCATAATAAATTATTACGAGGCGAATATAAAAATCCATTACAATTTTGTGATGACGCTTGGCTAATGTTTAATAATGCTTGGCTATATAATAAGAAAACTACACGTGTTTATAAAATGTGTACAAAAGTAAATATTTTTTTATTTAAAGCAAATATTTATTCGAGTCAAACAAAATATTTAATGAATAGTCAAAAGAAAAAAATTGATCGGATTTCATATTAAGTTATTTGTATTGCTTATAGAACAAGAGAAGATATTTCTTGACTTTCACCTACCTTATGGTATTGAGTGCAGTATAGCAATTGGTTCGATAGCCCTATTTCTTCTCTATAATCACAATATAGGCAGCATATGCTATCAAACAGATGAACTGGAACTAGGGGCGTACCCAGAAATTTTCCAACGGAGACGCCCGAATCATTAGGGGGGGGGGGGGGGGGCACACCACCACAAAAAAAATTTTTGGTTTCTCCAAAACTTTGTGTCGCCGTACCCCCATCCCGATTTTTTTGGCCGGGGGGGGCGCACCCCCCCCCCCCCCCCCCCCGTTGAGTACGCTCCTGTCTGGAACAGATAGTCATTAGTGACTTGTTCAAAGTCATTCCATGACTGATAGATTTGAGGTTTACCTACAGTATCTTGTGGGTAGAAGATGTCGGACAACATAGCGATTCAGTCATGGTAACTGTATTTCATATGTTATTTAATGAAGAAAATGATCAAATGAGTCTCACGTAATATGAACTTCTATTTGTTAATCGAAACGATAAATTGAAATTTCTCTCTAAATTTAAATGCTTATGATTAGTTTTTTCGTTAAATATGGAATATTACTATGTCCTTCAATTGAACCGGTTGCGAATGGAATAACCAGACTAAGGTTCAAACCTTCGTCTAGAATGCTTCAAGCCCTATCAAGAAGTATTATCAGAGAGTATCCATTCCCTTGACACCTATAGCCAAAAGGTTTAGCTTCTCATATAACTTTTTTGCGAGTTTCAATAATTTGAATCAATGAAATAAAAGATTGGTTTTTTTTTACTTTTTTTTTAGCTTTCTGAAGTATTTGCAGAAGCGATTGATCCAGTCATGCAAACATTAGGATATTGTTGTGGTCGACAATATGTTTATTTACCACAAGTAATGTTTTGTTATGGTAATCAATTATGTTGTCAAATTCCACGTGATGGAAATTATTATTATTATAACAATCCGGAACCGTCTCGTTTTAATTTATCCGGTGATAAATATACATTTTGTGCGAAATGTTTTGATTCAGTTAAAAGTGATTCAATATTTGTCGGTGATGATCCAGCTCAAACATTAGTTGAATTACCAAAAAATTTATTTATATCAGCTAAAAATGATATACAAGAACCAGAAACAATGATTGATTGTATTGTTTGTACACGCCGTTGGCATCAAGTATGTGCATTACATTTAGATCAAGTATGGCCCGAAGGTTTTATATGTGATACATGTTTACGTGATTTTAATATAAAACGTAAAGACAATCGTTATACATCATTTAAATTAACTGAAACTGATTTAGCTAAAGTATTAGAAAAACGCGTTAATGATTTTTTACGTAATGAAGGTTGTCAAACTGGACGTGTTACAATACGTATATTAGCTGCTAGTGATAAAGTATGTGAAGTAAAACCACGTTTAAAAAAATATTATCAAAATCAAGTACCTGATGGTTATCCATATCGAACAAAAGCTATATTTGCATTTCAAGAAATTGAAGGTGTTGATGTTGTTTTATTTGGTATGCATGTACAAGAATATGATGGACGTTGTCATGCACCAAATACACGACGTGTTTATGTATCATATTTGGATTCAGTACATTTTTTTCGACCAAAAATGTATCGTACAGATGTATATCATGAAATTTTAATTGGATATTTGGATTATGCTAAAAAACTTGGTTATGTTTATGCACATATATGGGCATGTCCACCAAGTGAAGGAGATGATTATATATTTCATTGTCATCCAGCTGAACAACGTGTACCTAAACCAAAACGTTTACAAGATTGGTATAAAAAAATGCTTGATAGAGCTATTTTAGAACGTGTTGTTATTGATTATAAAGTAAGATTTAAAAAAAAAGCCTTTTTTTCTAATACTTAATAATAATGTCTAATTTTCTTTTAAAGGATATTATGAAAGATTGTCAAGATAATCAAGTACAAAATGCTTTGACTATTCCATATTTTGAAGGTGATTTTTGGTCGAATATTATTGAAGAAAGTATTAAAGGTATGAGATTAAATTTTCAAATGATTTAAACTAGAAAAAGAAAAACAAAATATTTTTTTTTTTGTTAAGAACTTGATCAAGAAGAAGAAGATCGAAGAAAACAAGAAGTTGAAGCGGCAAGAGCAATGGAAGATGGTGGCTTTGATGATCCTATTGAACCTGAAGATCCAACAGATGTAAATAAAATCAAAATTATTTATGTTTTTTTGTAATTTATTTATCTATCATTTTTTTTAGATCTCTGATAAACGTAAATCTGCAAATACACATAAAAAGAAAAATTTAAAGAAAACAACAGCTAGTCAACGTAAAGTAGCAAAAAAACAAATGTCAAATTGTACAGATTTAATATCAAAAATATTTTCTACAATGGAAAAACATAAAGAAGTAAAATAAATATTTATATGCAACAAATATTTTACATGACTTATATTGTCTAGGCATTTTTTGTTATTCGTTTACGTAATCCGATAGCATTATGTCCAGCTGTAAATGATACTGATGCTTTAATACAATGTGATTTAATGGATACACGTGATGCATTTTTAAATTTTGCTCGTGATAAACATTATGAATTTTCTTCATTACGTCGTGCAAAATTTTCTACTATGGCATTATTATATGAATTACATACATCAACAACAGATAAATTTACTTATAATTGTAATGCATGTCGTCAACAATGTGAAATACGTTATCATTGTACAGTATGTGATGATTTTGATTTATGTGAAAAATGTTATAATACTGAACCAAAACATGAACATAAAATGGAACGTTCTGTACCATCTATAGTTGATGTTAGTCAAGATGGTGAACATAATTCATTAAATAGTAATGATAAATCTATAGCAAGTCCACAATTACAACGACAACAATCGATGCAACGTTGTATTGAAGCATTATTACATGCTGTTAATTGTCGAAATGCTAATTGTGTTAATCGTAGTTGTTTTCGTTATAAACGTGTTATACAACATACTAAAGAATGTAAAGGAAAAAATAGTCAATGTAATGTATGTAAACAAGTTATCTTTCTTTGTTGGTATCATGCCAAAAGTTGTAATGAACTTAATTGTCAAGTACCATTTTGTACTAATTTAAAAACTAAAATACAAAAACAACGTGCAACTAGTTTGCAAACAGATAGACGTCGTATGCAAGCTATGATGCAACAAAGAACGAATACAATGCAAACACAACAACAACAGCAGCAGCAACAACAAGCGCCACCAGGTAATAAAAAAGAAAATTAGCTTTTAAAAACAATGTCTATAAGATTAAAAAAAATCCTATCAGCTATAGTGATGAGTGTAAGCTATGATATATACATATATTCGAACAAGATTAGCCTGAGCCCATATATGTATTCTATACTAATATTGTTGCGTTACAGCTTGCAACAATCCACATTACTTTCGCAAATGTATCTCGGGTTTTTGTTTTTGATGAAATTCTGGCCCCCTATGGGTGAAACAATCGGATTAAAATAAATTCAGAACATTGTTTCATTTCTAAAATTAGCTACTTTCTTTCTTTATAATCGATATAGATGCTTGACTACATGTAAGATCAGAATAAATAATTTTTCTCTTGTTCATAGCATGAATATATATATAAAAACAAAAAATTAATTATGGCAATATAAAGTCAAACAAATCTACAGAAACTGCTTTAAGCGATATAGAAACCAACACTATCTTATTAATCCTCATTCAGTTATGTCTGAATAAGCATTAGAGAATAAAAATACTCAAAATAACATAGAACTGATTACATTTGAATACTTTTTGTTTTAAATTTTAGTTTCAATAACCACATCTATACCATCAAATGCCTTTGATTCATCTGGTAAGCCAGCACCAGTAACATTAATTCGTGCACCACAACCAGGTGCATATCCTAATCAAACATATATAACAGTAGCACAAAAACCAAACACTGGTAAACCAATTCAACAAACACCAAATCAATTAAGTGTATTAATTGGACGTGTTAAACAAGATCCATCTATAGATGATCAACAGCAACAACAACAACAACAGCGTTCAGATATGAATGATCCCAAACAATTAATATATCAATCATTAATGAATAAAACTCCTGTAAGTCGCTTACCATCAACGACAGCAACAACAACATTTATTCAACAAACAAATCAGCCACAACAATGGCATACTTCAGTATCACAAGCACAATTAAATCCTCCTCCTAATTATACAACAGCAACACGTCCTCGACATCCTACTATAATGCAACAACAAGGACTAAATCAACCAACATCACATACATTATTAGCACCATTAAGAGCAAGTACTTCAACACCGCCACCATCAACTTATATAGCACGAACAAGTTCAACACCAAATCTAACACGAATACCATTAAATGTAACATTAGCAAGACCATCTCAATTTTCTTCTCAACAACAACAACCCTCACAAGATCCACCTCCACGCTGATTGGGATTTTCTTTGTACATGTATTTTCTTCTCATTTCGTTCTATTGCGTTTGCCCTCTTCGCTCTTTTTTACGTCTATCATCTTTGATATACATTATCAACCTCCGTTCAAACACACATTGTTCTGTCTTTAGCTCGTGTATATGTGTCCGTATTCGTTTTGTTCGTCTTATTATGTCATCAAGACATACAAGAAAATAAAATAAAAAAAAAACGTTGTTACATTTTGAAAACAGGAACGATTTTATTTTTCTGCTCGGGAAAAAGAACCTGTGTGCGTATGTATATAGATTTGAAATATATAAATATATTGGAAGCATGCGCTCGGTTCTTTTCTGTTTTCTTCTTTTTTTTTCTTTCTTTTTTACTTTTTGTTTTGTGTGTGTTTCGTTGTTGTTTGTGGCGTGCTTTGCTCTTTCTCGTTCCTTTTTACAAAACGAAAAAACGAAACTCAACAAGAAGAACTGTGTGTATGATGTCGGTTTGGTTTTTTCTTTTTTTGGTTTGTTTGTTTATCTTTCATTGTCATTTTTTTTTGTCCCTTGAACATTTTTGGTTTTGTTGTTGTTCTTCTTCTCAACTATCAAAGTTGATTTTTTTTTCTTTTCTTTCTTCTTTCTCTCTTTCTTTTTTTGATATGTGAATAATAAAAAACAAACAAACAAGAAGATGAGAGATATTCGTCGAAATGGAAAAAAACATGATTTTTATTTCATTATGTTATCATATAGTTGTAGAATAATATAGAAATATAAGAAATGAATTCTGAAGATGAATATAGTGAAAATGATAATCAGGGTAAGTGCTTATTATAATGTTATTCAAATTCTTTTTTGTTTTTCTTTAATTAGAAATTGATGATGAAATTATAACAAGTGAAGAGGATGATAGTCAGCAAGATGAATCATCTATGCAAATGGATGAATCAGCAAACTCACATGATCCGAAAATACATACAGAAAAACAAAAAGCAGATGCTTTAAAAAAGCAAATTGGTAAGTTTAGTTTGTAATCAATAAAGTTGATATTTTGGAAATGATTATTTATTTGCATTGATAATTCTAAATTACTACATATATACTTTACATAAAGCATAAATACGGACTAATCGTGTTTTTTGTTTTATCTGTTGTAAATAAATTGGTTTAGTTCTCGTTATGAAAAATCTTACAGAAATATTTAAACTTCGAACATCAATTTGTACAAAAGAAAACAATCGTTTTATGTCTATTTGTATTAATCTGAAATTAGCAAAACTTCAAACAGATCTATATTTGTAGCTTTGACTTGTGTCTGCTCCAGTCTATGTCATTTATTTTCACATACCACTATTATCATGGTAATTCAGTGAAAATAGACGACTGTCTTTATAAGAATGCAAGCATGTCGCATATTCCAAAAGGTCATGACAAAAGAAAAACATTTATTGATTGAATACAAAATGTACCTGTCGATAATAGACAAAAAAAAAGGGAAAATACATTGACATTTAGGGAAAAGCACTCCATTTTTAACAAAGAATATTTGGATTGAATTCGATGAGCTAATTGTTGAGAGCATATCAAGTTCTAATTTAATACGACAAACTAAATATGAATCAAAGATTAATAAGAAACAATTAACAATTGATATAAGAAAATGATAATAACTAATTAGATAATGCGAACAATAGGTTCACCAAATGGATGAACAAACAAATCACAATCTATTACTAGTCATGACTCCGTTTGGTCAAAATGATCCAGTACCATGTGTCTTCTATTCTACTGTTTATTTTGTAACCTATATTTGCAGTTCAAAAATCAGGACCTCTGTATTTCTGTTTTGACACTGACACTGTGCAATATTTTTGATCTATCATCTGTGGTTTTTCAGACAGAAAGAAACTCAACACAGAAAGAGTATTGAAGGATATTTTACTATTTTCAATTTATTATCAGCAAATAAAAGGAAAGCTGCATATTGTTAATTTTGATTCTTTCCATTCTATCGATCAAAGTTTAATGACGAATAGTAGAAAAAATAAAATTCCAATTATATTAGGAAATCTCTGCTTTTTGTTTTAAAACTTTTTGTTAATTTATTAGTTAATAACAATTGTTCTTATTAATAAGAAATGAAGTTTCTCTAAATTAAATTGAATTTATTTTCATGAATATGAAGAAAAAACAAACAATTTTAAGCCTTCATTTTAAGTTTACTATATTTATTTTGCACATCTTTCCGTTTATCTTCAAGTTGAATAAGTGATTCACCAGGTTTTGGTCGTTTCATTAAAAGACGTGGTTTAATAGCATCCTGTCTTAAATCAGATTTTTTTGAAATTTTTTCTGAAAACCATTTGACATCAGGTAACACTTTCAAATATGATAATTTTTTTTGAAGACATATTTGATTGCATAGAAGTTTATTATTTTGATCAATTAATTCAAATTCAATAGCTTGACCAAGTCGAAAAGACATATCATTATGATCATTAATTTTTAAATTAGTTAAATTTAAATTCTCTTGAATAAATGCTTGCTTTATTTGAATTTTAACATGACATTCTTGCGCATAATTTGATATTATACGAAGTAAAGCCCTCGACATATTGGAAGACCTCCTCTCCTCCTATAATAGAAGACTTCCGTTGAATAAATGATGCAAAAGACATATTAGAAGACTCCCCTCAGAAAAACAGTATGTCGAAATAGTTTCTGGAGATTATTGACTTTATTAGTATTTAAGTCCAAAATTATATCTAGATTAAGCACGAACAATATTTTGCTTCAGCCCTCGTAACGAAGTGTCAAATTTGAGCGAGTAAAATCTTGAGAAGCAGCTAATAGGAAACATCTATCTATGAAAGATTGCTTTTCTTTGTTAAAAGCATATCATGGAGTGATTTTAGTTCTCCTTTACAGCTTACTCTGAAAACATTCTTCAGGTTCTATACATGGAACACACGCTTCCATGGTCATAGGGTCTGATGAACACAGTGCATATGCATGCGTATAATACATGAAGAAATCTTTGTAAAATAGTAACAAATTAGGTAAAATGCTGCAGTGTATTAATTAAAAGGCTCCTTCATCTTTGGCTTTCTTCTAGAAAATCAGAAGGGTTTGTACCACAAAACAATCTTTCATAATTGAAACAAACATAACTTTATGCTTATACGTCGTGCTTTTATATGTGAGTACTTCTTTTGAGTTTCAGAACGCATTTCTGTTCTCAATAAGATTCAAGGCATTATTCGAAACAAACTCAAAAGAAAATACAAAGTGTGTATTCAACTGCTGATTTTCTATAAATAGCTTCTTCACAAGACAACCGTATTCATTGAAGTTAGCTTGAGACTAATAACTATGCTAGTAACAGAATTCACTCTGAACAAATTCCATCTATGCTAATCAAATCCCCACAGAGGTAGCTGAATTAAATGAGTTCGATAAAAACAATTTAATTTTCTTTTTACATTTATTTAATTATTAACAAGATAAAATATTGCCAGTGATAGGTCTTACGTTAGCCTTGGAGAAAAAGAACGCTACTAGATATCGTACCAAAATGCTTGGTTACGTTGACCGTATTGTTCTGAGAGCACTTCTTACTAGGAATGGTCTTCCTTTTTTCACAGGATAATATCTCTTTCTTTTTTATTCTAGACACGTGAAATAAGTGAAACAAACTTGTTTAATAACAATATAGTAGACAAAAATCAACTGAAACTAAGATTTGTTGGCGAGACTGCCAAAAAATATGACTTTTTTTAGAGACATAATAGAAGATCCCCCCCGTTTTAACTTATAAAGGATAAGACACAATAGAAGATCCCGAGTCTTCTAATGTGTCGACGGCTTTAATGGATGAAATGTTTCTGCATTTGTATAAAGTTTAATACCAGGGAATGATAAATCTTTTGAATCATATAATTTTATTTGACATTGATCTTTGGACGACGAATGACCAAAGATTGATTTAAGAAATGCTCGTGTATTTGTTGTTTGTATTAAAATAAGAAGAATGAAAGGAAAAATTCGTATGATCGACATCAAATAGACTGATGAATATGATTTAAATAGATGTAACTAGTCTTCATATATAAGATGAAGAAAATAAACGAATTATCGAACACGTCACTGTCATGTTTTCACTGATATTTCAACTTATTTTTTGCTTTTCTAGCTTTATGGGATTCATTTCTTGAATTACGTATAAAACTTCAACGTGCTACAATAACTTGTAATTGTTTACCGACATCAACAATATCAGATGATAATGAATTACGAGAAGTAATCGATGAAAGTAGGAATACAAAATTTATTTTTATTTCTATTTTTTTGTTTACTTTTCAAGATGCAAAACTTTTTCGTAAAACACTTGCTTTACTTCTTGCTATTGAAAATCGTCGTTCAAGTAAACGAGTACATGAAGATGATAATGATGAAGAAGAATTCGATGATAAAAAAAATAGTGCTGAAACAACAGAAATTTTTAAAAAAATTTCAAAACGTCTTAAACATGATGAAAACGCTATTGATGAACAGCTGAATAAAACTTACGAACGTTTTGTACCAGAAAGGTAAAAAATTTTCTTATGACATTCTTATTTTAAAATATATTATATATATATCATTGATTAGAGATGCTGTTATACAAAAATGGTTTGAACGTACACGTGGTTTTGCTAAACAAAATAAAACAAATCTTGTTGAACAATCGCCACTTGTACAAATTAAAGAGGTAAATTAAAATGTTTCATTTTAATTTAAAACCAATTGAATCAAAAGCAATAATCCGTGCACGGCTAAAATGTGCCACACGATAGAGGTGTTGTTGCTAAGCACAAAGAGATTGCCTTCATTCTTTCTATTTCGGGATGCATTTCTTCACCGTCATTTTAATTAATCCTCGAGAAATGCAATAAGGCATTATAAAGGAACGCTATTGATATACAATGTGTGTGCATGATCGTATATCAACAATGATTATCACGTCTGGGAACGGAAAGGGAG